GTGATTTTATACCAGCCAGAAAACATATTTTAAATTGTTCTGCCAGTCTGCATGTTGCCTATAAAGACATTAAATAGCCTTAGGCCTAGCTACCTGATGGACCATCATGTTCTATATTACCTTGCCTGAACCTTTCATTCTTAATGAAAGGCATTCCTCTTCCAAATCCCCCAATACCTGAAGTTCGGCAGGTAGTAACAAAAGAGGAAACATTCTGAGTTGCGGCACCTGTGATATGAAATGCCCTTCCAGGAGTAACTTACAGTGCAAGCTGATATCTTTTTAACACTAGGGAAAAATTCTCCTGTCCTTTCTTCAGAATTATGAAGAACAGACTCTTGATAGCAAGGCTAAGAGAGGGGCGAAACAGCAAGCTAAAGAGGTGCATGGAGAAATAAAGCAAGGCCTGAGGCTGTTGGCAGAAAGAAACAGTGGCATAAGAAGTGAACGGAAGACAAAACCAAGCTAAGAGCTAGAAAAAGGAAAAAGGGTGACTAAGGACAGGGAAGGGCGGGGGAAGTAATAGCAAGGAAAGGAAGTTTGAGGAAAGAGGCAGGAAGGCCAGGGGTGGTGAGAACAAGCAAAGGGGAAAGCTCTGTTAGCAGAAGATTGGGCAAGGCCAGGAAGTAACTCCCTCTCTGCCTGCCAAACACTTGATCAGCAGCAGGTGCAAGAACAGAAAGAGGAACCTGGCAATAGAAGGTAGCAGGGAGTAGAGATTTTCATGGGTGCTGTTAGAGGGATCACAGGAACCACACGGGGGGATTGTGCTGCAGACATTTGGAGTTGTATGGATTGGTAGAGTGACTCTGTACAAGGCAGTTTGCTGCATTTCTAGCATTAACCAGCACTGGCTCCCCTCACTAACCCAGATAGGAAATGAAGAATATATTGAAGTCTGTGTATGGTAAAAGCACGACACATTATGATTTCTGCACCATGTTAATTCCTTGAAGATGCTGAATCCTTTGTCATATGGCCACACTGTCACTTATTTCTTGTCAAACAATCCAGAGAAGGGAATGATTTCATATGACTCATTCCCCTGCAATGCAAACTAGATAGAGCACTAAAACAAAATGAACTGGATATGATTTATTGCAGCAGTTAAAAGTAAATGAGAGGGTTGAATTCATATTATTCTTTCTCACAAGTAACCTGCCTCTGAGTGAGAGCCACATGTGCAATGGCTCCTTCCAGTGGCTGAACACATGCTGGCCATTCACAGAATGAGGTATCCTATAAATCTTTCAGCATGTCCTATGGATATCTGATCCAAATAAGATATAAAGGAGAATACTCAGAAGCAGGGGCACTGGTAGTGCAGAGGGACCAGACTGTAGACTGCTACTGTTTCCCAGGCCTTCATGAATGTCATCAGTAACACACATGCTCCAGAACCAAGTGATGCAAGCTGAGTATTGCAATTTTTATTTCTGAAGTCTCAGCAATAGTTGCAAAAGAGCAACAAAAGGCACACACAGGAAGCTCAAGAAACTGAGTAGTGTTTCAACATGACAAGTAAGTTCATTACACAGAATGGCCATAACAATAGGCAATAATATCAGAAGTGCGCCTTGATGCAAAAAAGAGGAATTTCCCATTCATCAAAGACTAATGCTCAGTGCTCAAGTACCAACCTTTTACTGCTGTTCTAGCATCCAGGCTTAAACAAAAATGCAAAACAAAATCAAAGAGGCCCTCAGGACTCATTTTTCTCACAGGGAATCCCCAGAGCAGAATATGGAGGGCAAGAATTCTCCCCTGCTATAGCTCTCCAGCAAATATTCCCTCTTAAATATGCCAATAAAAATAATTGAAATTTTTGGTTGTTTTAATGGCCCACCCTGCGGGACAAGCTTTATTTTATTTTCAAGACATAAAAACAAAGAATTCACCTTTTAAATTAGATGTTTCATGATTTTCTACATCACCTAGTTTCAACATGCCTCCCAACAAGCCACTGTTTAGCAAAACATGCCAGATAATTCTTAAAAACAAAGTGTTGTTGCTTTTCCAAAGCTGATAATATCTATATTATTGTGAATAGTTTGATTGCACTAAGCCCCTGATTTTTTAAAAGAAATGCACTCGAGAACTGTCCGAGGATTGGGATGATTTAATGCTGTAAGTAAACTGAATATAACACACGGATAGCACAAGAGAAGATATGTTCATAATGGGGATTGGAATGTGCTTTAGTAGTTACTAGGCTTTACCTAAGAGTTCTGGCATAAAGTTTTGTGGTGTGGGGACAGTATTACAACCTTACCATGCTTAAGACCAAAAAGGAAGTGGAATGTTTTACTGCCGGGTTGCTAGTTCAAAGGTTAGCAGCACTGACCAGAGTTAAAGGCTAACTGAAAATAAACAGCAGCAGCAGTGAGTACATGGCAGCCATACTCAATCTGCATTTCTCAACCTGGTGCCCTCCAGACAGGTTGGATTAAAACTCCCATTATACCCATCCAGGACAGCCATTTGCGAAAGACTGGCCTATATAGTGCAGCATCTTGTTCCTTACAGTGACCAAGCAGATGCCTCTGGAAAGCCAGAGAGGAGGATATGGAAGCAAGCATACTCTCCTACTGGTGCTCCCCAGAAAGAGACTCCAAGCCCTGTGAAAAGTGGGAGAACCTAAAATTCAGAGCCCCAGATCTGCAGAGCCCCAACAGGCAATTTATTTCAAGCACATTTGCCTACCCAAGTTGATTTATTTTACTGGACATTTCGAGCATTTCTTGAAGCACCATGCAAAAGAACAGCAACAGGCCCTGTCCACAGAGTTTTAATTTAAAATAGCACAAACACAGGTAAGTCAGCAAATGATAATGAAACATGGCTCTGTTTCTGTTAGGGATGTAGATATTTATGTGATCAAGAAGCTGAAGACTTGCCAACTGATGATGAATTATAATCCCTAATCTAGTACTAATCCAATAAAGTATAAAATACAGAACCAGTGTGCAAAGATGACAATCTCCCACTGATTTCTCACAGAAAAGAAACATAACCAGCTCTTGTCGGCAACAGCATATTAGGTCCCGTTCAACTGAATATTTAATAAAGCAGCTTAATGCTACTTGTTTTAGAGTTAACAAATACTGATCTCAGGAATTTGAGTACTGCAAGTGAATGGACCTTAATCCTTCCATACAAGAATCCATTCCTGGTTCCCCCAAAATGTCTTCATTTCAGCAGCACAAGTTTTGAGAGTGGAGAGTTACTTTGTTGTTAATGTTAAAACATTTGGAGTCAGAAATCCTTAATGATCCTTACCCAGAGATCTAGCAATAGTTTCCAATCCACCTTAGTTGTCAGAAGCAAATACAACACAAAACATCTGCATAAATGCTATTAAGTGCCATGGGGCTTTTTTACTGGTCTAGATACACTCTGCATTTTGAGCTATAAGTAATCTATGCTACCTAAGTGTTCCTGACACCTACATTAAGTGTTTTGTCCATTCTCAGCTGAAGACAGTTATATAATGCTGCCTCCCTCCATTATGCCATTGCTCCCATCTACAAAATTTAGGCAACCGCTAGAACGGTGTATTTTTGTAGCATACTTTGTCAGCGAAGTCAAACCACTGCAAGATTCTTAGCGTCACTTAATGTGATGGCTGCAAGCCAGTTGTCTGAATTAGATATGACTGGGCAGGACTAAACCTGTCCCACTCATATCTAATATAGGGCATCGAATTTGTAAAAGAGAAGAACTGTATGCACATGAGATGCTACGTGTTCCTGCTATTTACCTTCCTACTATTCTAGCTTATCCTTGCAGCTACTTTTCTACTCGGCTTGCAATACCAGAAGTGAACTTGACTGGGGAACACATGCAGGTGTGGGGGGGGAGGGGGGTGAAGAGAAAAGAGACTATATAATGTTCCCATCATACAGGGTATTATTTATTTATATTTACTGATGATGTATGTATGATGATGATGATGCCTTATGGGTATAAGGCATAAGAAAGTGTCAGTTGCCCATTCACTGTTTTTACTCTGTACTTGGGAGAACCCACCGTCTGCTTTATATGTGATTGGGGCAGCCAGGCTTTCATCATGTGTCTGAGAGTCAAATTTTTCTTGGAATAGGTGTCAGGTGCCAAGTATGAAAATTCCAGTTCTAAAGCTGGTGCAAGTACCAGCTTTCTGCTGTCAAGCCCCTAGGGCCGTCATTCTGAGTTTAAAATGGCTGGAGCCATGACAGATTGCAAAATCACCACAGGACACAGAGCCTGCCAGCAGTGTTACATTTTAACTAACATAAAAAGATGTAGGAGAAAGTGCAATGCCACATCTTGGCTCTTAATTATAGTCTTCTGACACAATTGTTAATGGTCTGTCAGGCTTTTCATTAAAAAAGGTTCTATTTGTGCAGAAGGCAGACAAATTTAGCTCTGCACTCTTTGTGCCCAAGTCAGAAATAGTATATATTTAAGCTAATCTTGTTCTTTACATGCACATGTCTGAATATTACCATTTAAATATAATCTGGTTTTAAATTACACCCCCAATTATGTCCCTCAAAGGAGGATCTCATTCCCCTTTCCCCACCACCTGAAATCTGACAAAGTACTCTGCTTCCGAGCTGCTTTCTTAGCACTACGAAGTCTACTATTTGCAACGAACACTTCAAGGTACACTACTACATTTATTCAATAATTTCTCCAGCACACTAAAGCAGGAGGCAGCTTTTCAAATGGATTCTGGAAAATAAGCGTCACCACCTCTGCATCCACACTAATGTGTCACTGTTGAACTGAACTATCTTCCCCCTTTAAAACAGAACACCAAGCCAAGATACAGCAAAGCATGTAGCATAAACGATCAAGTATGCAGTTTTTCAAAAATTCTAAGCAGTGTTATTTCTCAAGGTACATATGCCAACCCATTTAAGACACACAGCAAAACTACGTCCTATAAATGAAGGACTCAGCACCTGCAATTAGTGCAAGTTACTGGCTAAAGTACTTTTACCTGGGATGCTTACCATTGCTGTAGGCATAAGGCGATTCGGATGCTCCATCTTGAAGGCTCTCCAGGATTTCTCCCTTGCCCACATCACTGTCTCCCACCAACAAGAACTTGAGCAGATAATCATAGCTCTTCACAGGGCTGCCCTGGGTTCCCATTCTCCCTCTCATTAGTGAAGAGTTGCAATCCGCATACTAAACACACAGCCAGACTGGAAGACACACAGGAGTCCAAACTTTCAGAGGCAATCTTGGGAGAATTAGTACAGCTATGTCCTTCCAAACACAGGCACAAAGCAAAGACAAATGATTCTTCTCACAGCAGGCTCTCCATCCTTTGTGAATAATCGTCTGTAAAATATGCAGGGATCCTGAAGGGAAGGGGAAATAAAAGATGGCCTACTTACTTTGTGCATTTTCTGCCTGATTGTTTAGAAGGTGTGAAATACAAACAGTTTAAAATTCACTGAACTGCCAGATGCCAACTGCAAGAATGTTAGCACAGCAATGGCTGTATCTTTATTCATTCATTTATATGCCTCCCCCTACTCCTTATGGAGTCTCTGGGCACCATTACCCATAAACATGCATAAGTATACCTGAACCCGGGGGATACTAGTTACTGCACAAGCACGTATATACCTATCCATTGTAAAGATGGGTTCATCTACCCTCAAAGAGGTTGCTTCTGATATAAATTACACAATGAGGCCTACTGTGTAAAAAACAGCTACTCTCTAATAAAGGAAGAGATCATTCATGGATTGAATGGACTGACCTCCAATTTAAATATCTAACTGTAATTTATACATACAAAAACACATTAACAGATCTCAAATTTACTATACTTTTAATCAACCCTTTCCCTAGTCCACATGCTCATATCTTTTGAGAACCCAGGAGAATATATGTTAAGCCAGAAATCAAGTCTGTTAGATTTAACTTCCCAGATCAATGAAGAGTAATTAGAATTCATAAGGCATCCTGGAATATTGATATTTTCTATTTGATTGTTCATTTCCTCATTCCACCCACCCTGTCTCTTGGAGAGCCAGCTATCTACCTTTGTAAACCATTCAAACTCCACACTAAAATGAGAGAAGAGTGTTTCCCAAAGGAGGAGATATTTAAGGGCTAACAAAATCCATCAAATTATTTTAAAAACACTGCAACTAAACTTTTTGCACTTATAAAAATAGTTAAATAGTCATTAAAAAGATGAAGTGTTTCTACCACTTCAGTGTAGGCTTATTGCAAGTTGCAAGATTTAAAATCATGTCAACTATTGCAACTACAGGAATAGAAGATAGCTCAAAATTAATTAAAAAGCAGCAAAAGGGCGTGAACTTGCATAAAGCATGCCAGCAGATATTCAGAAATGGGAAAAGGATAAAGGTGGCAAGTGCATGCACACACAAGTGTGCACAAAGATGCAAAGCCATGGTGACTGGAAAAAGAAGGAAGAGCTGAGCGTCACACCAAAATGCAATCTAAGATTTTAGACACTGAGAACTCAGCCTTAAGAATGGAGGAGGAGGGGATGGGGAGAAACAGAAGAGGGCAGACTGAGGAAGTTCATGGAAGAAGAGATGGTTACTAATTTGCAGACAACACATTGTACACAGTAGCCACCCCTGTTACAGAGCAGGAAAGCATGGCTAAATAAAGGGGTTTACTCACACCTCAACATTTTAATGTATATTTATGGACAAGCTGAAGATGCAGATATACTGCTATTTCTAGCATGAATTCAGGTGTAACCTAGTGTTACACTGCCACCCCGCAAAAGGTTCAGTTACAGGAGTGGGAAGAACTCATCTTGATAAGGGTCTATAGAGACAATTGTAAGACAGGTTACTACAGAAATTGCATGCTCCTTAAGACAGGGACAATAGGGAAGTCCAGCCACAGCAGAATAACTCACACATGGAAAGAGATAAGGCTAAAGGGTGAGGGAAGACTGGTTGTTAGTATCTAGTGAATGGTACTTTCAAAGCATTCCGAATGCTTCATGTACATTAGCTGGTGGTAATCTTGACAACAAACCTATAAGGTGAGTTATAAGAAAAAATAATTTGCTAAGGGACAACTAATACATTCATGGCAGAAGAAGGATTTGCCCCAAGGGCTTCCTACTTCTTCGCTACTCCATGAGTTCTCAGGGGGGTTCCCTCCCCACACACACACAGAATTTACATATACATAGTATTTGTGGTCTATGGTTTTATAAATTGCTGTGAGTAAACAATTTATATGAGTGTAACATTACATGATAACATGAACCTCTGAAAGGGTCAATCCAGCTCCTGCACCAAATTCCTTTGATGAGTAACATATAAGAGGGGAAGAAAAATGTTGCAAAAGCACCCTTTTAAAATGTCTTACAAAGCAGACATCACTTGGCCATATGCCACCTTACTTTGCAATGGAGGAAGAGCAAGAAAAATGGAAGAGGTGTGCAATGCCTTATGGGGAAATGTTAAAGCACACATTGAGCAAATCGGCCACTAGTTGATGGGGGTTATCATGTGGTCTGCACCCAGTCAAGATAACAAACCATGGGGAGCACCCCACAGTTGACAGTTTAAACATAAACCATGGGTCACTCATGGTTAATTAGCCATGGCCTGTTAGCGCAACTGGGTTCCAACAACATGACAACCCACAGTCAACAACAATCCACTTACCACTCTTGAGTATAGGCGACTGCGTTTTCCGACACCCCCTCCCCGCAGGAGATCAGGTAAACAAACAATGCCACCCAGGAAACGGTTCGAGCCAAGATGCTGCGTCCCCGTGACGCACGCACGTGTGAACAACCCCCTGCACCGACGCGAGTCAAGGGTGCCAATTCGGAAGTCGAGAGAGAGCGAGGGTGGAAGGAAGGAAGGAAGCGAGGGTGCCTGAACCTGTGTGCGCACTTGGCACTACCGGGCAGCGAGAGCAGCAAGCAGCCGCAGCGAGCGAGCGAGCGAGCCAGCGAGCGCGCGCGCACCTTCGGAGAAGCGTGCGAAGGGAGCAGGCCTCGCGGGCGCGGGGCGCGGGCGGGAGGCACGGGGGCGCTGGTGGCTGCGGCGGCCGGTGCGGGGGGAGACCCGAAGGGGCTTCGGGGGACACGCGCGCCCGCGGCGCGGCAACGCAGAGGCCAAGCGAAGGCGCGGCGCGGCGTGGGGGAGGCAACGCGCGACCTGCCTCCCTCACAGAAACGGGGCGGCGTCGAGCGGCTGATTGTGAGGTAAAAGTGCGGGCGGGCGGCTGACAGGAGAGAGGAGGGGAGCGAGGCAGCAGCTCCGCCGCCGGCAGACGGGGACTCACCTCCCTTCAGCCCCCGAAGCCCTGCGCCTTCGGCTTCGCTGCTGCCGCTGCTGCGGACGCCACCTCCTCTCCGCGCCCGGGACTAGCAGAGGAGCGCCACAGGCCTCCCCCTACCCGGGCCGCCCGCCCAGCGACAGCGCCGCAGCCACGCCATAAGCCCCCGCGCACGTCAATCCGGCCTCCTTCCCAGTCGCTTGGGCTCCCTTCCCCAGTCTTCCCGCCCCGTCAAGTAGGACGTCCTATCAGGAGCGGGGAGGAAAAGGGCGTGGCCTGCGAAAACCTCGTATATTTTGCTTTGAAGACCTTTACGCAAGGGGAGAAAAGGCGGAAGAAAGGCTAAAGACTACTTGTCCCTTCATGCATCGCGTCGGCTCCGATTACGGAGGCCGCGGCCGCGTTGGCGCGAGGGATGCTGGGAGTGGTAGTGCGTTTGAGTGACGGGAACATTTCTCGAAGTGGCAGATTTAGGGCGCAATCCTGTGACTATTTAGAAGGGGAAAGCCCTACAACTCCCGGCATACTCGAGTCTGCTGGGCATGCTGGGAGTTGTAGGCCTTTTGTTCTTTTTAAGCATGCTTGGGATTACGTTCTTAGTGTGGCATCAGCTTTCGTGCAATATGAAAAATGCATCGGATCGGATATGGTCCACGACGGCTTCATTTATTTATTTAATTCCTATGTCACCTTTCTGGGAACAAAAGAAGGCATTTTGCAAAAGGTTCAAAATCTAAAAAGACCATAAATAGCCACAATTAGGCTGCGATGGGGTAAGTCCATTTGAGGATACTGTGGCTTACCATTGAGTAAACATAGATCGGGGGCACAGCTGGAAAGTGTCATTCGGTGGAGCGCAAACTTTTCAGCGCGACGCTTTTGCTTGCTTTACTCAGAAATAAGTCCCTGATCTATTCCATGCGACTTCCTCTTCAGCAAACCTTGCAGCGGGATCCGATGCACGTATTCAGAACTAAGCTGTGGGATTCACTTTTAGATAAGTCTGGCCCGGTTTGAAACCTGCAGACACAACTATCGTCTTTGGGCTTACACATTAGTAGAGCCTTCTGTGTTGAATGAGGTAAGCCTTACTTGGGGGTGAGTTTCATTTAGCGGAAAGTAGGCATGTATGAGATTGGACAATCAGTTGTTTTTATTATACCAGGGTAAAAAATGGGCTACCCCTGTGGAATGTATTAGAAGTAGGGCATGGTGAAGGAGTATCACACAATGCGCTTCATGATCAAACGCAAGTCTGCCCACAACACAACACTGTCTCCATTGAAAATGCTGCAGAAGTCACGGCTGGTTTTGCTACAGCACGCTTAATGCAGCTGGCTCTCCAGAATAGAGGCAGGCAAGTTATAGTTCTCCAGATGTTGTTCAACTGCAGCTCCTATGATGACAAAGTAATGGGAGCTGTGGTCCAGTGACATCTGGAGAAGCACAAGTTGCCCATTCCTGCCCTAGAATCATGTTTGGGAAGCTGTCAACATTCACTGGTATATTTCTAAGCAGTTTTCCCAACCGGGTGCCCTCCAGAGCTTTTGGATGCCAGCTCCTTCTAACCCTACACAGCAGGGCAAATGGACAAGATCCCAGGAAACTGTGGTCCAAAATGTCCAAAGGGCACCAGGTTGGGGAAGGTTCTGTACAGTTTAAGAAGGGTTTGCAATATTCATTTGGCACTGCTGGCATTTATAAGTAAACAGTGACATTCGCTGCAATATACTATCTTTTGTTTCTGTGTATACACCCACAGAACAACCCTAATAATCCATAATCGAAGGTGACATTGCTTTTATTTATGAAGAATGAGAGAGCCTGTCCCTAGTAGTTTACAATCTTCTTAAATCTTGACAAAAGATCAGTGAAAGAGACAGAAAGGTGAGCAAATAGTCAGTCTGTCTTAATGAGGACTAACAAAAGGGTATGTATTGCCTTACCATACCTACTGAGAAACCACTGTTCTTCATTCTTCTAAGCCCAGACTTGCCAGGTGGGTTTAACTCTGCTCCTGAAGGAGGTAATGTTCTCTTTGGGCAATAGCTCCATCCGGGCAGAAATCTGACTTTTTGATTTTTTTTTAGATCAGCATGACTGTTGGTAAATAATTTCTTAATACAACTTTTTAATAATGTTGCAAAAACAGGTTTTTACACAACAAAAACAATCATGCTAGGGAAGGTTGCAGGCAGAAGAAGAAAATGAAGACCCAGTAAAAGATGGATTGACTTCAAAAGGGAAATCACAGCTTGCAATTCACAAGACCTGATCACGGCTGTCACAGATAGGATATTTCAGAGATCCTTCATTCATTGGATTGCCATAAGTCAGAGATGACTTGATGGCACATATCAGCAACAACAAAATCAAATGTCTAATTGTTAATATTCTGTAATTAATGCAAAGCTGACAGTATGTTGGCTCCTCTTAATAGCTTTGAATTGCTGAACATTCTATAGCTGTGCCTGCTGGCCTGGGGTCCCACATGCCTTCCAGATTTCCTCAGATGCCCACATCCCCCGTCTGCCAATCCCAATCATTTGGTTGTATCCCAGCTTTTGAGCAGATTTTCTCCTGTTCTGAAATATTCCAATCAGGTTCAGGCAGAAGAAAGTCCTCTAACACCTCGCTGGCTGGGAACTGCTGGGTGTTGGAGGACTTCCTCTGTCTAGATGGCCTGGGATTGTGCCTTCAGTGGACCAGCCAGAGAACAAAGAAAGAGGTCAAGTAGGACATTGAAAATGTTGTTTGACCTTAAAAAGTCACCCTCGTTTTTGCACCCAAATGACATTTTGCAGTAAGAGGTATTATTATAGGATTAGTGATCATCAAAGTGCGGGAAGGACATCCTTTGGTAGTAAACACAGTCAGTTCCTTGAATTAAAAAATGACATGCAGTTGTCACTGTGTAATTATGATACTTATATTTCCTCACTCTGTTGCCACCCTCCTTTTGTTCTCCTCCTTTCCCTCTCCTGTCTTGGAGCTCATTAATAATTGAACAGATAAGATCAATGATCACACTGGATCATTATTCACACACAGATACAATCAATTAACATACTGGATCTGGCTAAATATTGGGACATTGTTTCCTGCTTTGCAATATTCTGTAGATGGTTCTGCCTTTTGGTCTACGATGTTTTAATTGCTGTGCTGGCTTAGGTTAACAAGCAACCGCCACTGCATGCCCACTCGCCCGTCCCCTTCACCTTCCCTTCATTGTCAGAGAGTCCAAAATAACCAAACAATAATAAAAAAAAAATCCAGCAGGTTTTTTAAAATCAGCACACTTCACCAACCTATATAGGAGAAGACAACTAAGAGGCAACAAGATGACCAAGCAGATCTGAGGCAATAAAGCCAATTTTAAAGTGCTTGCACCAACAGGGATGCCTGGAACTGGTGTCAAAAAGATTGTGTTCTCAGAGCCAGGCAAGCATTCTTAGGGAGACTTCCAGAACTGAGATGCCAGGACAGGACATACCTTCTCCTCCATGGTTCACTTTGTGGTGCATTTTGCAGCCAAAGGCTCTTAGAGAAGGGCGAAGACCTGCGCTGGCAGGCATAGGAGAGAGTGCTCCAGATATCTGGGATATGCTGTTCGCTCTATGACTCCCAGCAGCCCAAGGCAGCCCAGTCCATCGGATATCCTTAAAGCTCTCTGTATCACTGAACTAGAAAAGCACCACGTCCCCCTGCTGGTTGGGTGTAGCAAAGTGTTAATTCAGTCCAAACCCTCACCTGGAAGTCACGGTGCTTCCAGGTGAGAGTCTTAGTACCAACTGTGCACAGTATTGCACAGCTATTCCATCTTTGTTTCCTTGACAGATTCTGCGCAGTAAAAAATAGCGGTGGGAAATATGGCACATTCAAAGCTTTGTCTGAAAGCACCAGAAGAGCCACTGAGCTCAATGCAACTGAATTCATATTAGCAAGTGAATTAGCAAGTTGTCCCATCCCAGCAGTTTGTAAGTTTCTCTTTGTGATATCCTATTCCAGATCACAGGTATTACAATATGTGCAGTGCCTTTGCCCATCATATGTTTTAGAAATGATACAAGAAATGGAGGATCTAAGCAGTCTAGTAGCATTTGAGGCATCAATAAAATCTGGCAAGAAGAAATAGGGCAAATGACAAAAGGCTGTTTGGTACAGGTTCTACATTGTTGAAATACTTAAGGTAGGCAGGGGGGACACTTGTGTATCATGGAAAAATGTGTCACCAAACATACAAACAAGCAGGACAGATCTGCATTCATGTAAGTCATTCATTCATTCATTCATTCATTCATTCATTCTGCATTCATGCAAAGTAAGAAACAAGTATTATAATTTAATCAAAATACAATATTGGGTGGAACTGTGATCAGTCTGCTATCCAGGTGCAATCTGTGAATGGGCAACGTTGAAGTCCATGTTGTTCTTCCTTCCTATGATACTTTATCTTGAAACTGGACTTGGATCAGCTACCATTTAAAATATAGGACTCTCTTCTGGCAACCCTTCAGATAGAGGATTATCTTTTGTAAAGTAGGACACACAACCTTTCTAAAGGAAGGTCTGCTAACTAAACAGCATTTCACCGGCTAGGCCAGTCTGTATGCATTCTGAATAAGCCTGAGCTGGACGTTTGATTGTCCAAGGTTCAGCCTGAGGGATTGCAAAATATTCAGATCTCATTTTTGCCATAATTTTTGGAGACTATTCCTATCATCTTAGATGTTTACTAATTCTGCCCCACCTTTACTAGGTGCTGCATCCCACCAAACCCACCCAAAGCTTCATGATGTCCCCATTTCCCCAGTGAGAATTTCAGTGGCATTTCATTGGGATGCCCCTAATTTCATTTGGCTACACTGAAGAGGGGTTGGACTGGGCTGTTTGCACACCTTGAAAACAAAATCAAAATAGGACGTAATCCTGTTGGATCCCAGCTAATCAGGAAGCACCCAGTTCATTCCATAGCACTGACTGGTTGCTCCCTGATTGACTAGAATCACTTCCCAACACCAAAAGCCCTGTTTTGTTTTTAATGATGCTAAAAGAACCCAGTTTTATTTCTGTTCATTCAAATGTCTTACCAAGTTCAATTGGGTTTACTCCTAAAGAAGTATTTGTAAGATAG